ATAATAATAATAATAATAATAATAATAATAATAATAATAATAATTTCGGCATTACATGTAATTAACTTGGTCTAGCCCTGTAATCAAGAACCTGCCGATTACTATGCCTAGTATTAATAACTAGCTCATTTTTACATTCATTTGGTGCTCTGCCATTTTATGGTCTTATGGCATCCAGTATTTTAGAGTTGCCTATTCTCAGCTCTTCTCTTAATTTAAAAATAACTGTCACCCTGTTTCATTTGATGAAGAAAAACGCGCTTTTCCTTACTCTTTGTGCTTTTCCCAGATGGGTCTTAGTAGGCCTAGTAGGCTATGGGGTGAAAATCCTAACGTTCAGTCCCGTTCCGAAATTTTCCTAATACTTTCACTCATTATGATAATTATTATAATAATATTTAAAAGCACCAAAAAAAAAGTTCGACCGTCAGAACTTCTGCAAAAGACCGGGTGCAATGAAGGCAGATGTCCTGTCTCTTATACACATCTAGATGTGTATAAGAGACAGGATTTAACACACAGTGACACAGGAGTACGTAAAGCATTATCTCTGTCTCTTACGTAGTTTATTATTTGCGAACATCGTATTACTGCTTTAGAAACAAATTAAAAAATTATAATTAGATATAGTTTGAATTTTAATTACAGAATAATATTTTTTAGACTACTATTAAATTGTTTTTGTTACTGTAAATGTATACTAGAACATATAGAGGGCGCTCGAGCCAGAGGACATGGCGCTGGGATTGTAATGAATAAAGTTGCCGCATGTGTTGAACAAGACATGTTTAATAGTGCCTTATTTACAGTTACAATAACTTCACGTGTTGTGGTACAGCCAACAACAGTAAACAACAACATGGCGACTAGCGGCGGACAGTTTGCCGGTGTTGTAATAAAGTGTTGTTTTCACCGCGAAGAAATTGCTAATGAAACTCCAATTCTAGTTACAGCAACCAGATTCTTGAAGATTGTTACTTGTAACAAATTATGGATAGTTTTAGACAGTCATAACCGAACTATAGCTGACAAACTTGTGTCTTAACTAGCCTAGGATGTGCCTCTTGTGTCTTGGTTGGAATGGATAAGTAAGGCCCAAGGGAAAGACATACGATTACGAGGATGTGATAAGACTTTCACCCTGTTTGCTATCGTCGTTACATCGACACGAAATCGATAGCAATGATAAGTTATCATTACCAAGTGTAGTGTAGTCCCGTCAGTACCTTACCCAGACACATTGTACAATGTATTAAAAATATTCTGTAAAAAAATGGTGCTGACTGTGCAGGCCCTACCTCACTTAGCTTCGTGAGTGGATTTCCCGTACGATTGAAAATCGTAACGGTACTGGGTTTGGTCTACAGGAGTTCGTGCTTCGAACAGGTTATTGCATTCATAGAAAAAGCCTTTTGATGGAGAAAGTGTACCTTTTTAGCAAAGGTTTGCCTAGGTCGAAACTAACTCCGGCTATATAAAATTGATTATAAGATTGAAAAATATTAATTTTGTTATTGTAGTAGTGATGGATACTATGTACACGTTTAATTATTGTTATTTATTCGTTAATGTCATTATATTTACATTTAAATTTAATATATTGTTTAAGTATTAATTATTATGTTCATGTAAAAATTAATTTTATAAATTAAAATTGTATATTTTAAATAATATAGTAGGCATAGTTTAATGGAGATCATCAAATGCGGTTGTAAGACCGGGTGCAATCAAGGCAGATGTCAGTGCAATAAAATGAACATGAAATGCTCCGATCTTTGTCAATGTACAAACTGTCAGAACAGAGATGATAAAGACACCATGAATGAAGATGCTCAATTTGCAGACGATGAATACCTAGACGAAATTTACATAGATGATTTGTTTGATTGAGTTTTGATGTGTTTCTTATTTCATCATTATTATGTATAATATAGAAAATTTAAAAAAGGTAACGTAACCATGTGACCCTTGAAAATGTAAGAACTTCAGAACCATGAGACTTAGCACACAGTGACACAG